TCAGTCACAAGTCAGTCCTATCTCTGGCATTGCTTGACTGAAAAAAGTTAAGGCACACAAGCATATGAATTTTGAGAGAAAAAAAAAATTCAGGGCGGCCACCGAGTTGTTTTCCAAAACAGCCAATCTAAATGCCTCTCTATTCTGTCTAAAAAGACTAACCATGCAATTGCATGCATCTAACATAAATAATAGCGTTCAAATCCAAGAACATTTGAGCCACTCTTCAACACATCTTCCACTTCCAAGTTTAAATAAATCAACTGCACAAGTTATCTGACCTAGGCCCATGACAACAATAGAGTTAGTGAGGTACACTTATTGCTTTGCAAAGCTCAGATTGTCAAGTGTGAGAATGCAAGTTCGAGTATAAAGCAGCCATTTGTATCTAATAATGCATGCTAGGTGTCTACCCGCTTTTCCTAGCATCCTTGTACTAACAATTGGGCAATTGGCAATGGTCTTTATTTATTATCAAACATCCACTCAAAACAACATAAACTGCATAAACAATTTAATAAACAAATTTATATTTATTATTCTATTGATAACATAATTGCATAAGCTGTTCATTCAATACTTAACAATAAAGATGCTAAAATGCACACCTATTTTTGCTCTATCCTATGTAATAATGAGAATTGTGTTTCGTATTCTTAGATGAGTACTTTGATCAATTATAGGAAATGGTCTCGTTACTTAGCATGTTTACAAATTTTAACTAGCATAATTGCATAAGCTGTTTGTTCTATAATACATAATAAAGATGCTTAAATTTGCACCTTTTTGGTCACATTGGACACTTTACATAAACATACTGTTGTAGGATAGTATCAACCAATTATACATTTATACTTGTATTGCATCAATTAGTAGGAGATGACATTGTTGAACACAGAAGTGGAACTCATCTTTATGTCCCTGTTACACTCATGATCCTTCACAATCAATAACGAAGTTCATTTCTAGAGCCACATATGCAAGTTATCACAGCCTATTTTATTTTATTTTATATATATATATTGAAAAAGACTTAAATGACAGAACATCAAGTAGCTATGTCACTTATATTATGACATTATGCAACCATATTTGATATTCTAATTTTTTAAAGGGACAAGCATTTAAAATTACCAAACTACCCATTTAAAGAAAGTGTTAGTTGTAATAAGTTTTCACAATGTTGGGGATATTTTGGTAAGTAAATTATCTTTTTACCTTGACTATTCAATTGGGACAAGAATTTTGAGATAGCCAAAAATGAAAAGAGGGAAAAGAATTTTGGGCCGGTAGGACTAACGGAGAAATCATAATTTAATTCCCATTGTATAAATATGTTGGTTAACTTAAAAGAGATAAAAGTAGGTGGTGCAGTTTCTGAAATCTGATCATGTTTTTGAGCTAGGAACAATTTATTAATGTCAAAACTTAGACCAAATTCCACATACTGTCAGTAACAACATTCGGGGAATCTTACCCACTCTGAAATCTTAAAAGTCAAGGCTTAATTTTAAACTTAATACTTGAATGGTTACAATTGAAGTTTAAATATCAGCAATTTGGCCGCACAAAAACAAGAACTTGGTTGCTAGTCTCCAACATACCAAATAATCAACACCCCAAAACTGGTGAAACCATGAAAGAGTTCTCACCCAAAGGCCAAAACCAGTCTTGAACTTGGGTGAGCTATACAATCACCAACAAAATTCACCATTTAACCAAGTAGCCTCCTTAACCATCACTAACAAGCACACATAAAGAGAAAAATAAAAACTATAGACAAAGGTAACTTTCATCAGTACATGAATTGAAACAGAATAACATTCATGCACTGTTTGACTAAATAAATCATAGAATGACACAAAAGAAAGCAAATTTAAGGACTCATCAATTGGTGACCAGATCAAAGAATCAAATTACCACAATAATATGTATTCACAAGGAAACCACTCAAACTCATTCACCAAATAATCAAATCCACACCAACTATTCGACGAAATGCCACAATTAAATTACAACGAACAACACGCAAAAACAGAAAACCCATAAATAATTAGAGTGAGGGAAACAATTACCTTGGTACCAGGGGCTGGTTGGTGGAGCTCTTCGTCGGGAATGATGACAGGCCATTTCTCGCCGGCGTCGCGGAACATCTGCTCGGTCTCGAGATACTGACCCTTCTCGAGAATCATGTTCCTGATGGTCTGTGCCGGGGTGGTGGTGGCGTCGAAGGCCTCCTCGACGCCGTTGACGAAGGTGACTGTAATCTGCGGCGGCTGCTCGTCAGTCCGGCGTTTGACGAGCACCTGACAGCCAGGGTTGGACTCCTTGGCCTTGCGGGCATTGCACTGTGCCAAGAACTCCATGCACGCGGCCGTGCGTGGGTCAAGCGCGTTGAACTCTATCCTCACCTTTGACAAGAACTTCAGCATCTTCCCTGATTCTCTCTCCCTCGTCTTGGCCTTGCGGGCATTGCACAGTTGTTTTAAGTGACCACAAATACCTAACGAGTAAAATATATTGATATAAAAATGAAAGGGATGTGATAGTTGGAAATTAAGCACGGTACTTGTTTGGGCTATGCAAAAGGGCGGATTCAGGAAGGAATTGTTAATTGGGGCTAGTATTTATTTGGGTAAGCTAACAATAGTTTTTTTTTAGTTGGGCTAAAATTGTTTTTATTTATTTATTTTTATTTTTTATTTTTAGACTCAAGTGCAAAAAGCAGTGCTTATGTGTAAAAAATATCCATAAAGTTTTAATTTGGTACAAATAGGTCCATCTGACAAATTTTAACCCTAAGTTAATTAAATTACCCTTACTGAACAATTTTATAAAATATATAAAAATAAATAGTTTTATAAAACGACCGAAAAAGGACACTATTGGAGGATGCTCCTCACGTGCAAAAAAAAACCTCTAAAATTTCAATTTTGTGCAATTAGGTCCCTCTGACAAATTTAAATCCTAAGTTAACTAAATTACTTTTAATAAACCATTTTATAAAATTATTTATACAATATATAAAAATAAATAATTTTATAAAATGACCGAAAATAACACACTTGGAGGACACCAGTAACGGACAAGTAAAGATAAAAATATAAAATAAAAATAAAAGTATAAAAGAAAAGTAAAGATAAAAATAGAAAAAAAAAAAAATGAAAATAAAGTGCAAACTTAAGAAAACAAATCAGCTCCAAAATCTGTAAACCAATGCATACTGATATTCGGATTTTTTTTAAAAAAAAATTTGTTTACCAGTGTTGGTACGAAAAATAATAATAATAATAATAATAAAAACAAATTTTTAATAATAAAGAGTAAACTGAAATCTAAAAAAATTCAAATCATTGTTCTACAAATTCTCAAAGTTAAAAAAAAAAAAATGTTTAGAGATATATATAGAGAAAAAAGTTTCAAATATATATATATATATAATATGCACAACAACTATATTATGAAATTAGTAACATATATACCTCCTTGAACATTTTTGATAAAGTAAAAGGGCAAAACGGATATTACAATACTAATTTATGTCAGAAGGGTTATTTTTGCTTAATATGAAAAGATTAGGGATATTTTTTTTTACACGCTTTTTCAAATAGGGATAAAAATACTATACGAAATATACTTTGCGCTTGTTCTATATATAATATATACATTTCAAAAATCTAGATATATCAACATGACGTATTGTAATTTGGTAGTACAAAATATAAAATTTATAAATTTAAATGATGATTGCATGTCTGGTTATATATACAGTTAACAAATTTTTATACTCCCTTGAAAAATAAGTTGAGCGTTATATTGAGGGGATCACTTTTGGACTAAATTACACACACACACTCTGTTGAAAATGTTGCATTTTAATATTCAGTAGTTGGTAAATATTATTATGATTTTTTCAAAAGTGTCAGATACGAAATTAGAGTACCAGATATGTTATAAATAAAAGTAAATGCTTTTAGAATTATAAATACGTTTAAGAAGTATCAAACATATATATCCATAGTCAAGAGTTGAATATCAATTTGTTTTAGGGGCATCCTATTAAAGATGATAAATTATACTTTTTTTTTCAAGTTACAAGATAATAAGTCCAAAAATAGAACTGTAATGATTGTTGACTAATACTTAATAATTTAAATAACAATTATTTAAAAAAATTAGTAATATAAAATACCGACCTTAAGAGTCCTTTGAGCAACGAATTTATTTTGCAAATTGTGAAGAAAAAAAAATAGTTTGAATAAAGGAATGCATTTTTTCTTTTTTTGAAGAGAATGTAAAAATTTAGAAGAAGAATGAAAAGAAAGGAAAATGTAAAGGGATTTTTAGAAAATAATTATTTTAGTGGGTATTTTTGTAAAATTTTATAAATTGTAGTCCTATGTGTAGTAAAAATTAACGGCACGGGGTTAAAAAATTATTTGAGGGGGCATTTTTCACTTTTTTTATATTAAATATTGGCCTATGTGTAATAAAAAGTAATGGCCAGGGTAGAGAGTTTTCTAGAAATAATAATAATAATAATAATAATAAATTTAGGAGTACTGAGTGTTTTCCCTCGTACTTGTCTAAAATTCTATAAATCTTCCGAAATCAAAAGTGATTTTAATCACGCTTTTACCACTATATACAAAATCTTTGAAAGATTTCTGATGGACCATGTAATATTTTCCACCCTACTGTTTTTTAATTATAAATGTAATATTCTACTTACCATCTATAAATGTAGCATTAATTCTTCTTACCATCTTTGAAAGATATCAGGTGAGCCACACCAGTCTCTATAGCGCCCCACTCTTTTATTTTTTTATTTTTTAAAAATAAAATTACAAAAAAATCCTTCCATCCTATTATATTTGTTTTTTTATCTTTTCAATACCTTAAGATTACTTAACTCTTTGAATCGAATTCCTTCATTGTACAGAAAAAAGCTAGGAAGAAAAACTTTGTGCACGAATGATTCAAACGCAAAAATCTATATGTTTGTTTAATTACACTACAAACCTAATCGCATGGCAGAGAATTACTATAGAAATCTTTCAATATGATAGTTTACATAAACAAAATCTTGTGAAGAGATTAGCAACAAAAGCTTCCATTTCGGTTACAGAGTTTGAATTTGTCTTGGATTGCTTTTGTAGTTGTTTTGAGTTGAATCACTTTCTATAATATTTTTAGTAATTTGTTTTTGGTTGGAATTGAAGTTGATCCGATTCAATTCATATGGAGATAGTAATATAGTTTATGAGGGTGTTCTAAATCATGAAATGTGCATGAATTCAAAGAAGATCAAACACGTGAAGTGTTTTCAGATAAAATAATATTGATGAATTTAAGGGGAGTTTAAAGAAGATCAAATACAAGGATGTGTGGGTTAAAGAGAATAATAAGTAAATTTTAGCAGAATCCTATCTTATCAAATAAGGGTAATTATGACATAAAAAATATAAAAATTAATTATTGTGTAATATAAAGACATTTGGGTAATTTTATTTTAAAATAAGAAAAAAAAAAAAAAAAAAATGGAGCGTCAAGGTATATCGGTGGAGCTCCCATATCAGCTTATAAATGTAATATTAATTCTTCTTACCATTTTTGAAAAATATTGGGTGGACCTTGCGATGACTGATGAGTGTGTACGTTATATATATATATAATTTTCATCAATATTTTTGTAAATGTAATATTCTACTTACCTTTATAGCACACACACTCTTTTGGCTTGTATACTCACCAACCCCAAATTGTCCCGACGTCTATAAATAAGCCTCTATCTGACCTACAAACTACAAAAAAAAAAAAACCATGGCTGATATTATCCGTTTCTCTCTAACTATCTCCATCCTCCTCATTCTCATATCAGGTAAATTTTATTCCTTTCATTTATTTTCCATATATATGATTAATATAAGCATTAACAATTATAGTAAGTGGTGACAAAATGACATATGCAATTATTTTACATAATACTACTTGCATTTTTGTTGATCATAATCATACCATGGTTAATATTATTTCCTGAAGAATGGTGACACACACACATATACATATATGTGTATTTATATATGAATGCAGTTACCACATCAACGAGCGTGGTGGAAAAAATGGGATTTGCAGGGCCTGAAGCGGTGAAGACGGATTGCACCGCCAAGACATTGACTTCGGACATATGCGTTCGGCCCGGACTAACAATACCACAAAGGCTCAAGTTATGTGCGGATGAGTGTCGCAAATTCAATGCCAAATCAGGATGTTTGCGCGATGGTTTCACCATACATTGTTTCTGCTTCTGCGATTAATGTGCTCTCAACTTAACTTATGTCGGTTTGGGATTGTTGTTGAAATAAAAAATATATATAATATCTTTTGCTAATTTATTTTGTCATAATATTTTTTTTAAACTAATTTTACATAATATCTTTAAATAAGATGTTTCATATTTGATAACAATAACTTTATTAAGTATAAAGTATAAAAAATGATATAATTGACATTTTGAAATAGTTTTAAAATTTCCAAATTTTAACTTTATTCAAACGATGAGCTAAATTTGGTAACTATTAAAAGCTATTTTAATAATTACCATACACGTTTAAAAACAATTTTTAAAAATAAATGTGTTTTTGAACAATAGAGAAACAATTAAAGGAATACTAAGAATAATGGATTTAAAAAATTTGTAGACACGAAAACCGAAAATGATTGTAATTCCATACAGATATATTGACACGACATATTCTTGCAAAAAAAAAAATTCTGAATATTTTTATATATTTAATGTTAGGGAAAATTGCATAAAAACCCCTCTAGTTCAAATTTTTGGCAGAAAACCAATACAAAAAATAATTGCCATAAAACCCTCGAATTTTGAGTGTTGCAATACTACCCCTAAGTCAAAAAAATCATTTTCTGGGACGAAATTGCCCAGCATCACTTTGAGTAAGGTTAACGTATGTAGACTACCATTTGGAATAGGAAAACCCTATTGTAAAATGTGTGATATTGTGCGTGGGTTTGCTTGTGTAAATGCTTCATACACACGGATACGGAAAATGAATGTAAATTTTCTATTAATTTAAATGATATCTGTCCGTCATATTTAATTTTTATATAAAAAACTGAGAGTTATATTTAATGAAAAAAAAATTTGGACTCAATTTGCCAATATATTCATCAATACTTCTTATTTGAACAAATTCTAGAATTTTCTTACCAACAGTATAACATATACTTGCAAATGTTTTAAAATATAAAAGATTTTTAAATATGTGACATGAAGTTTTAAAAAAGTGCTGAATATGAGATCAAAGTATCCAATGCGTTGGAAATAAATAATTATATATATATACACACACACACACACACATTTAAAAGGGTAAAGTGCGCCAAAAAAAAAACACCAAACCTATAAAAAAGCAAGAGTTCGGCGTATAATAGGGAAGAAAGAATTATCATCTTTGGAATATGCATCAGTTGTGATATTGCCATTTCAAGCTTTTCATTTTCTTCATTTTTTATTTTTTTTTCACCGTCCAAAATTAGCAAATGGAAATTTGTATCCTGAGTTTTTTCCCCTTTGATCTCGATTCTGAAATTTTATATTTTATTAATTTTAAAATGATTTCTAAAGAACACAATTAAAAATTACAAACCGAGTAATTTTCACCATATTACTAAACACTGCAATAATTAATAGTTGGAGGAACAGGAAAATTTTGGGAGCTATATTAACTAAAACCCGGTAACCGCTGAGTGATTACCGAAGCTCTCATCGATAATTTGAGTATCAAAGAAAGGTTCAACACACAGGAAAAACAAATAAATAGAATTTGATCCTATTTTCGGCAAAAGCAGACCAGAGGAGGAGTATGAAGGCTGCGGAAGCCAAATTAGCAATTCCTCTTCAAAAATATACACAGCGTGATGCCAACTGCTCGGCTACGTACCTGCAATCTCTCTATCCACTTTCATTCTCTTCGCACTTTGCACCTCTGGCATGCCACTGACCCGCTGTGGGGCCGATGACACATCGTGCTGATATGAGCAGTTGGCTCCGTGCCTGCATCCCCTTGAACTGTTGAAATAGATGCAAGGTTTCATTATCTTGGGTTTTAAATCCCTTGGTTTAGGGTTATTTATTGATTCTGGGCTGGGTAGTAACTGGTTGTGACGGCCGCCAGATTGTGGAAGGATATCTTGTTTTTCTCCACCATGTTGCTGAATCAAGCTCTTATAATAGTTGATGTCCTTGGCCACATGAGCTCCTGCAGGAGGAGAGGGAAGGGGAACAATCTCAGGTGGAGGTTGGGGATTAGAAACAGGTCCCGCCCTATTTAACGGAGGATAGAAGGGAGCACTTGGAGTAACTGCTAACGAAGGTGCACCGGCTTCTGTCCTACTGACATGAACAGATGGTGGGTCGGATAAAATTATCCCAGCTGAACTTGGATTTTGTATTGTTTGCAGTTTGGTCGCCGGTCCATGGTCCGTAACCAATTTCTCAATCAAATTTTGGTTACTGAGAATTTGGATGAGCAAGTCACGGTCAATGAAGCTCCTTTCATCATTGGCTGCCATGGCAGCATATGCAGACGCTGCAATATTAGGTTCCATCCCGATGACCATTCCAGCTGATGGGTTCCCGTTGGCTGAAGGGTTTGGATAATTGATGCTGCACTGAGATGCAGGAAGAATTTCAGGGGCTGAATACGGGGGATGTGATATCATGGCAACAGTGCTAGGTGCCACAGAACCAACTGATGCATCTGCTGCTGCTTCTTCATCTTCAATGGGAGTGATGGGGACCAGAGGAGTGTCCTGATCGTTCTGATGGGAGTCTTCTATGCCCATTAACAGTGAGGGGCTGCATGAAATAAAACAAAGTGTTCAGATTAATGTAGAGTACAAGCCATGAGAGAGAACTATGCCAAGTAAGAGAAGCATCGCACTTTGGAGGAATGGCAGATGCACGTGGATAAACTGCTTCAAGCAATCTCATTTCCCGATGATTTTGAACCTCCACTTCTTTGCTTTCTTCCCCAGCAACCACTTGCCATGTAAAATTCAACACAAACTGTGAAAAGCAAAGAGAAGCAAGAATATGTTAGAAGACAAATTTCTGGCTTTAATATTAGATATTCAATGCAAAAGTTTTTCTGCTGCCATAATTAAATTGCAGCTACAAGAGAGATTAAGCCTCTATTTTGACATTCAAGCGATTCTAAGTAAACTCTTTTTATTGATGCGTTTGATTCAGGTGTTGGCTAACATCTGAAACATTTTAAGCTTCTTACAATTGAAATAAGGAATAGGACTTACCCAAGTTTTTTACCACGATCTGGCTGCATTATGCAGTTGCAAAAATTAAAGCAACTAACATTACAAGTGCAGATAAACACTCTCCCTATCAATCTAAGACCACGATGGTGTTAAAACGTGTCTTTAATGACAATTTTAATCAAATTATACATGGCTATAGTTAGAAAAAAATATACATATGGGATTTTAGGAATTTGGGGGCTCTAATAAAGTTATGGGGTGTCCTAGTATTATCAACAATATCCATAACAAGCTGTCTGTATAAAGTAGTCATAAGTAGGTGCAAAACACGTGGAAGTATGTCACTAATGCATGTCTTTAGGGATGATTGTGAATATTATTGTGAATTAAAGAATCCGTCTGTATAAACAAGTCATTAATCAGTGCATTGTACATTTAAGTTATGAGTTGAAGACTGAAAGCATATAAGTTGAAGTAGCAGAACTTTATAGCATCCTACTGGTGTTACGATGCAGCTGGTAAAAGCAAAAAATCAAACAAACACCAAACAACAAAAGCAAACAAAAAAAGAGAAAAAACTTAAGACTAATCTGAAAGCAAAAAAATAACTAAAAGAGCTAAACTGAAGGCATATTATGCAAGGGAAATGATTTTAGCACTGGTACTCTCATACTCCATTCACATTTTTTATAAAGAAAATGACATAATCGTCCTTCAAAGGCATTCTCACACTCCACAATCCACAATCATCTATTCTTACAGACTTGCACTCCATTTGTCGGGCAGTTGTCTCAAAAAAAAAATTATTTACTAAAATCAAGTGGAGTGAGAATACTTTTGCTGCGAATATTATTTTCCATTAGGTAATTATGTCACATTTTCTTTATTTACATAGAAACAAGCCAGGAAGCCACTTATCTAGGATAAATTAGGAAAGCGAAAAGGAAAGAAAATCTAATAAACAATATATAAAATAAAAATAAAAATTGTGACTAGGCAGCCTATTTGAGCTCCTAGAATGGAAGCTGGAGGTCCACACATTATAATTTCTCAGCAGCAGAAAAGATCTGCAATTTCCACATATCTCTTTCTTCCTCTTCTTGTCCATATCATCCTCTATATCGCACTAATAAACAAAGCTTTATTTCAGAGATACCACCAAATATATCCAGGTTATCACCATTTGAGACCACTAGCACCATCAGCCAGGTGAACTCTAAGATGCCTCCGGATTTTCTGCTCGCTCCAGTTCCTGTGTAACTTACCAATGTATACATACACATATATAGATGATATACATACACGCAGGTTATGTATATGTATCATAGGTATAAGTATTTGAATCTTTGTAGGTATATGTATATATAAGTCAAACACCTTGTCTCATTAATTTTTCTCTTGATTTTGCCTCTGAAATTATTGAATTTCAGATAATTGTTCTGGATTCAGAGATTGAATGTAATTTAGGTTGTTTTATTCTAAGTAACCCCTATCTCTCTCTAGTTTATCATTTTATTATCGGAGAACTTCAGGGGAATGAGACCCGTAATAATTCATACTAAATTTGAAATAGTTGTTGTATTTGCACAATTGGTCCAAGACTCCAAATAATATCATTTTTGAAAACGTTAATAATTCTTATTCCGAATGAATGATGATTGAACCCTAAACATTACATCCCTCTGTTTTGGAAATCATCAATACATGGACGCTTTCAGCTTCTACACAATTCCTTAATTCAAATTGTTTTTGTAATAAAAATCATCTTTAATGAAGGCTTTTTTCGCGATCTGATGCATTTTGGCCATTGGCAGTGCTTGGGTTTAAGACTTTAGATGCAATGACAGAAAGAGAATAGAATAAGAAGATGAAGTACGAGGAAATGATTGTGGTCAGATTTAAAATGGTCGTGTTGGCTGACGGTTTTTTGTGGGGTTGAGAATGGAAGGACTAGGAAAAAAATGTTGGGATTGTGTGTGCATATACATATAATTATATATAGAGAGAGTAATGAGATTCTGGGTGCTGGACAATGCTGGGGAATGAAGTGGTTCGACAGTCGTAACAATGGAGTCGGAGCAGATAAGCTGGTAGTGGTGCGGTGAGCTGACGCAAGCAGTTCAGTGGATTTGCAACGGTGAATTCGCACAAGCGGTTATATCGAAAATAATGTTGTGGAATGACAGTTCCATCGCTTCCTTTTTTTTAAAATACCGACGAGGTGCAAGATTTCATTATCAGTGCCCTTGTGAATATTAATATACATACTAGTAGAAGTATAAGTGCAATGCACATAATCAAAACTTATTTTAAATCTTAATTAAAGTCTCGTACATATATATGTAACATGTGTGCAAATATATTTTATATAGATGTATTTTTAACTTGTATATATAAATATAACTTTTTAACTATTGTGACCATAAACATAACTTTTAGAAAAGATCAACTAATCCAAAAATTCGAATCCAAAATTATTCAATCTATACAAATCCAAGTTAAGAAGAAAAATGATTTTCTCACGAAAATTCTTTTTCCATGTAAAACATTTTATGCCTATACACATGGAGATGCAGGGTATAGTCTACAAAGAAAACGAACCATCTCATGCCTGACAAGTCATATTCGCACCAAGCTGCATTGATATTGAATATTTTCTCACAGAGAACACAATCTAGCATTTATTACATGGAGATGTATGTTTCTTAAGTGATGGCAAAACCGCTTTTGTGAATAACCTTGTTGGATTCATGGGTCTATGGATTTTCAGCAAATACAAAATGTTTCTCCATAAAGATATGACAGTGAATAATTAGACTTTTTTTAGCTATAAGATTTTCCATATATTCTTAATTATATTCTTAATTAAGTTCTTCCAAATTTGAGAAAAAAATAATAATAAAACAAGTTGGAATCATAAGCAAATGCAAAGAATGAATCCTTTCGCAAGCACATGCGCGCGCGCGCGCGTGCACATATGATAGCACACACATGTACACATGCATGTCCAAAAGAAGTAATAACCATACTCCCTCTATCCCAAAATACATGTCCTGCTTGGGGAATCCAACTTTTTATGGTAGGGGAGTTTTAATAGTTTTTTATTGTATTGATAGGAAGACAAAATAGTGCTTCGTAATTAATGCACTTGTTTAGTTACAAGGATAGTTTGGGAATGTTCTTAAAAATAGTACACCCAATTTTGGAATGGGACATGTTTTTTGGGACATCCCAAAATAGAAAGATGGACAAGTATTTTGGGACAAAGGGAGTATTAGAGAATCATCTGACATTGTGGGTTCACAGTGATATGATGATGTTTTACATTTAATTGTTTTAATAAGTTCAACGCAAGATGGGTAAATTGGGAATGTCGTAAAATATAGTACATTGAACTTTGAATTGGGACAGCTAAATATGGAAAGGTGGACACTTATTCTGGGACTGAGGCAGTACATTCTTGAGAGTTTCTCAATATTATAATAATGCCTCCACTACTCTTTTAACATTCTCTCTCTAAAATTTATGTCACTCTTTATATATCACATTGATTGTACATACGATTTCTGAAAACAGAGATGAAGAATTTCATCTCTTTTTTCTTTTTCTTCTCTCTAGGAGAGAACTCAATTTGCATGCCTCCAAATGCAAGATTGCTATTGATTCACTCAGAGAAGCTGATCAGAGAACTCAATTTGTTTTCCAAGACTCTGCTGTAACCAAAATTTGCAGTCAAGTTGACTTTAAATCTAACTTATTATTGAAAAGCTAAAGATTAATTGTCCAAGTGACCCATATCTATTAAGTTAAAATTCTTATTTTATTATGGTGGTTTGAATTTATTTATTTTTATCTTATTATTGTTCAAAGTCGCTCTCTCTCAAAACATTTCCTAACTCCGTTACTGGACAAAAGTCCATTGCAAGAGGCAACATACAAGACATGTTACTTACATATGTCCGAGCATATCATATATAGAGAGTGAGGATATCCACAATATCGGGCAGCACTATAACAGAATCAGTTATCGATTCTGTTAACAAGCCACTAAAAAATCAATGATACACACACCACCTTTTAAGGTTTTTATTTATTTTTCAATATTACGACACCTAAAAAGATATTTCATGAATTGGATTGGACTTCATATTTATTTTAATTCAAACTCAGAACTGGTGCCATATATTGAGAAGAACATTGCAATTTGCACTAATTAATATAAGCTATTAAGCACCGACACGGCACATATGGGAGCCGTACCAGTGTCGGACACATGTCAGACACGGACACGCGTATCCAAGGTTTGGACACATGTCCGACACTCCTTAGGACGTGTCCTATTTTTTTTTTTTTTTAGTACACCGGACACGTCTCGACACCATTGGGATACACCGAAGACACTGCTGCGACACGGCGGAGGGACACACTGGAAGACTTCTGTTTTTCAAATATGGAGGAAGAAGATGAAAAATGAGCCAGATCTGAGTGGAGAAATCGTATGTAAAAGACCCATTTGATAGTTGATGTGGATGTATGCATATATCCATCTAAGAGATGGATGGGATGAGGGAGATCAAAGTGAGGGATGATATACAGAGAGATACGCAGATGGAAAGGATGAGAAAGAATACTGGAAGAGCAACGAGGCGTGCATCGAAGTGTAACAGAGAAGGAATAAGAGACTGTTTTGCCACACTGCCCTACATCTTATCTTCTGTCAGTCTGTTTGGTCACAGATTGTGTCTTGTTTGGCTACAAATATATATATAGTAATGAGATTTCGGCTGTGGGCCTATGTGAGTTATGTGATGGGCCTAATCTAAATGAGATGTTTTTATTAATATATATAAGAAATTGATTAAAAAAATAATAATAATAATAAAATAATAATAATTTATACATAAAATAAAAATATATATATTATTATTTTATTACCATATCCTTGCCGTGTGACCGTGTCCATGTCTTATTTTTTTGACATTTGTTGTATCGCTGTGTCCGTAACATGTCGTACCCGTATCCTGTGTCCTATTTTTTTGACATTTGTCGTATCGCTGTGTCCGTATCGTGTCGTACCCGTATTCCGTGTCTGTGTCCGTGCTTCATAGAATATAAGTAATAACTAGAAAATGCAACTATGAATCATAAATCATAAAATTATAGCCAAACATTTTATAGCTCATTGATTCACAAGTCAATTTCCCACCAAAAAGAATGGTGTGCAGGTTCCAATGATTCTAATATGTCACAGCACAAAGATCCATGGGTATTCATAAAATATTCATACAATACTTATTAAGAAAACTAAAACCTCTAAAATTACAAAATAAAAACATTAGATGACAGATATTGCATACCTGATAGCATAGAACTGAAAATAATCCATAGATCCTGTTATTCTAGCATCCAAATCAGTTGGCGATGACTCATTTTTTTACTTGCTTCGGGGGTATTGGTTGACAACCATAATTTCGACCTTTTTACGCCCCAATAAATTCGAATATAAATCAATATGGGACCCTTATACAATAGCATTTATGTTATTTAACGGTTAATATTGATACTATAACCAGTACAGCTCGTACCAAGAAAATATAAAAATTACCAAAATTGAACTAAAAAAATATTTACTCGAGGAAACACAAACTAAGAGTAGACTCAAAATTAAAATTGCCATGTAAGGTGTCAAATCAGTCTTGCCTCGAAATTAGACCAATCACCCAAAATATGCTTTCTATGAAGTTTGAATTTCCTCTTCTTTAGGACTCTTATGGATTGCATTATTATTTTAAGGGTAGAAAACCTCCAAAGACAATTAAAATAATGCAGTTTCTTTTCTTTCCTCTTTTTTTTTTTTTTTTCAACACCACGCTTAATCATCAAATAGTCATTTAGACACCTGGTAGTTGGTTGCTCTAGTAGAAATCCCTATCTTTCCACTCTACAGTGACTCCTACGTATCTTCGACAATATCTAAAAGGCTACATTATACACAGTTGGTTTCCTTGAAACAAGGGTGCTAGGAGGGACTAAGTGGGATAGAGACCTACCTTTTTGCAAAAAGTGTGTCCTTGCACGCAGCAAAGTTGCATAACTATTCTCAAATTAACATCACCAGATTAGATTATGTAGCCACTTGCCAATATATATATATATATATGCAACTGCATGGTTATAATGGTCATATTTATTGAAAAGAAAGAAGAATTTTTAGGCATATCAACTAGGAAGGTAAGGTTTGGCTATAACAATGGGCATATATCTTTCTAATATGCACATGCATCAACTAAATCGTATATGTGCAAACATAAAACACTATTATCATATCATATAGATTTCTAACATATATTATCCTGTCATATAATTTCACAGCCAAGAACTAAACACATTTATTGCAAGTAACTAAACATAAACTCGTGAATACCGAGAACAAAATATCCAATAGTATTAGCAATATGTTCCGTTAATATGACCCCGATATGATCTAGAGTATGTCAATTGATGGTCACCATGAAAAGAAAAAATATATACATTACTGATCAATTAAAATAAAGGTCCTTAGTGATGCTTCAGCTGAAGCTTGGGGAGCCTAAGGCATTTTTGGATCTAGTCACGCCTTTAACTATGAGAATAACACATGTTCCCTCATGCATATCATTGTCTTAAAAATTGGTCGCTTGAAAATTTTATAACTGATTTGTTATGTCTATATTATAGTTTTTCTATTGGTTTTTCATCAAGATGACAGGGAAAAATAAAAGAAGTCGAATAAGACGAGATTTTATTAGTGGAAACTGATGAGGCTTTGGAAACACCTTATGGCCTTCAAAGTGGAAAAGTTGAAACCTTAAACACGACAAAAGAGGAGAAGATAAGTGGTCCTTTTTACCAATAAAAGAGTTCAATTAGGCATGTGCAACTGTTTTTGTAGAATTAAACATGCCACTATGTGTAACTTTGAAGACTGTTATTTTTATTGGCAAACTTTAACCCGTCTGCCAGACGGAATTGGATAAAAGAAAAGGAATAGGCAACTGAAGTCCAGCATTGTTGAGAAAGGCAAGGCAAAAATAAATCGACTTGATAAGGAAGGTAGCATTTTTACATTCAAAAAGAACTGTGCAGGCAAAAAGTCATAGCAACAATTGATGCCTGGGCTGCACAATTCCATTGAGCCGCATACAGCTTTTTTAGATCAATATGTTTTCATATTGTTGTCTGTTAGAGGATTTAAATATTAAAATTACACCCTTTTCTGACAACTTAAACTTTTAGAGTAGATGGCAGTTAACATGGTATGAGAGCAAAGCAAGGTCTAGAGTTCAAACCTCACTATCACCCTGATAATCAGAATTAAAAAACAAGCGTTAGACCAAAAAGAAAGCCACATGTGTGGGGGCATGTTAGAGGATTTAAATATTAAAATTACACCCTTTCTAATAGCTTAACCTTTTAGAGTAGATGATAGTTAACATTGTCAATGACAACAACAATTCACTAGTTCTTGCAATTGTAAGCTTGGTGACGATAGGAAGCATTCAAAAGAATGATTTTATGTAACTTTGACATTTAAAACCCTTTTAACCTATTTCATGTGATTATATATGCAACTGCCTGACTGGTGTTTACAACCTTAAATTATCAAATCTTGAAAATGCATGTGGTGAAGTAAACAATTTATGAAATCGGAGCAGAGATATCAGACCACGACAGCCTTGCAAAATGGCAACAAACATGAACTAAGAATAATGTTATAAATCTGCTAAACATAAAAAATAATAAATAAATAAAATTATACACATTATTATCGTGAGAAAGCAAAATCTGACCCAGAATCATGTTGCCCTTGCCATAGTTATTAAAGGCTCAAGGCACACTAATGCTATGTTCGGTAGGAAAGAAAAAAAATTGGACGGAAGGGAGAGAAGAAGGAATGGATAAGACATCCCTAGGGAAGAGATTTTGTATTTCCTTCTTTTTGTTCGATCGGATAGAAGAGAATAAGATTATAATTCCCTATGTTTGTTACGAGAGAATGAAAGAGAAAGTTTAATTGTTTATACCATTATATCCAATAATATTTATAATATTGTAATTTATAGAGGATGGTACTGTAATTTAAAACTTGTATAATTTATGATAGTATTTAATTTAAAGCTTCTATAACAGTCCACTTGTCTTCCCTCCTTTCTTCCACCCATTTTTGGACAGATGAAAATTTGTAAAGGAGGAAGGATGACTTCTTTATATCATTTCTACCGAACAAAGGAATTTCATTCCTTCCTTCCTATTTTCTCTCCACAACTCTTCCTTCCTTCCTACTAAACACAACATAAGGCACCAAAGGCCTTCTGGAGCCTAAGCGCAAGGCACAATATATTGCATATTTAAACATATATTATTATATATATTTAGGATCAAGCATTAACTGCAATTAATATATGTAGTGAACCATAAATTTATAACTTTTGTCAAATATTTCATAAGGTTAAACAATAAAATATATGATATAGAACATTTTAATATAGTAGTGATTAAATAAAAAGGAAATAAATGATTAAAAAATACAAGGCGTGCCCTTTTTGAGGCTGGAGCCTACTAAAAAGCATGAGCTTGAGGGCTTTAGGTGAGCATGATTGAAGGGGCCTGGCCTGTACTAGGTTGAGGCGCTCTAGCTGAGACTTGACGAGCCTGAGGCTCTTTTGGAGCCTAGGCACGGCTTTAACAACTATGGTCCTTGCTGGTCAGCAACTCATGAAGTTAACAAGCATTAACTTGCAAGCGTTTTACAAGCAAAAGACTCCAATTGAGCAATGCTATTGACAAGGATTTAGACTTCCCTTATTGCTTGATACTATTAACCACCTTCCAGAGTGATTCCTTGCTATCAGGAAAGGAAATGCAAGCAATCCGTATTATCTTAGCTTCAATAATCAAATTTTCACCATAGTTCGGAGTGGGTTCAAGAATATGATGGAATAGGAGATGACATTATTGATGTCAAGTCCTCTAAATACCTTACAGCACGAGGAAGGCCAAAGTGTTTGTGTGTGTGCCATTATATGCTAATTAAACTCAATTCAAAAGACCTTGTCCAGCTACATGAATCATGTTTTGCCATTGAAAACAATTTTAGTCAAATCACACGTTTCCAATTTTCTTCACCGCACATAACCATAACATATTAGTCAGTTATCTATCTCTCATCTTAACTCAAATTGGTGCTAATTCTACCATGTTATGAATGCTACATCAAATTTTATCTCTCATTTTGCACTCCAGTTACATGCTAGCTTTCTTTTGACAAACTTTTACACTTAGATGGTTGAAATACAACTCTAGTTTCTATAACATCACTAAACTAATTGGAGGTAAAATAAATAAATTTAATTTAATAAAAGAGCTAGTGATCAAAATGAATGGGGAAAAAAAGAGTAGTCAATAACAGAGAATCAGTCACAAAACCAGGATAAAAATATAACTAAGATTATGTTTAGGTTTCATATGGTCTTTCTGCTCATTTTAACAAAAAAACTCTAACAACATAAAGATCAATAATTAGTTTCAAAATTAACTTATGTATGTTGTAGATAAATTGTCTATTAATTTTAACCATGATAGTTTTAAAGTTTGAAAAGAAGATAAACTCACACTAAAGCACTCAATAACACAGTGACTTACCCTGGGAGGACATTTCCATCTGATAACAGGAATTTGGGACAACTTATTCTTCAACAGGTTTGCAGGATGAGCTCCTTCAAAGCCAGGTGGCAAATTGTCACCAAAGCCCATTCCGGTTGACTGGTGTGGCCATGATGCTTTTGCTTGAAGGTGATCTTGAGCTCCCAATCCAACTTCTGAAGGGGATTCCTCTGATAGAAACAGCTTTACCTATTTACGAAAAAGGTAACAATTTACTAACACTTAAGTAATCGATTAGAATATGATATATGATGAAGTTGATCCTAGATACATTTTACACCCTCCCTCAACCAGTTGATGAGAGCTTGGTCAAACAAAGTAAGCAATAGACTCCATCCTTCCACCTCCACACGACAAAAGAAAAGTAAAAATATACATATACAGGAAAGGGAGTCTGATTTCTTAAAACTTGAATAAGCACATGCCCCCTCCTTCATCCTCTACCAAATGAAATGTCATTCTCCAGCACCAGAGGAGCTGTATCAAGGAGGATTGAAAGAGATGGGGGACAATGCCACCAAACATCCATGACTACAACCTGCCACAAGCCACTGATGCAATTTCAGTAAAGGGAAAATTCAGGGCAAGAGACCCCAAATCTGATGCATACCCATCCAATAAGAACAGCACATATGATATGACCTAGAATACATTTCTACTTAATTCACTACACTAGCCATACAATTTACTAAACCAATCACAACACTTGAAAGAAGGCAGCCTATCACACCGCCTCCAGTCCCCTCAACAAAAGATGTAGTGAAAACAAATTGACACATTAAGGATCAAATCATTCCATTTGTTCCAAAAAAGCATGTGCATGAGACAGTCTGCTTGAACAAGACAGACAATACCCATCCGAAAAAATGGTATCAATTATGTGAACATTAATTGTAGATGAAAATAAAACATAGCTGTAGAACTACAGAGGTGTAATCAGATGCATGCACATACAACTTTTCAATGACATTGACATATGGTTATTATTGGAAAATCCATCCCTTGGCTGAGCCCGGGCAAGTCTACCTCAGAATATATAATTGCAGCCTTGGCCTTAGTAGAGCTGCTGAGATTAACCAGGATTGCGTTCTCTAAACTTTGGCAGTATCCAGGCACTAAAAAGGAACCAAACATTCTATATCACCACACTGCTCGGGCGGAAGCTCGGTTCTATGTTAAGGCCGAGACTCGTGGGACTCGTGGGGTATGCCAATGCCACCTTGCCGCTCACCATGAGACGGTAAACTTCCAAGATCAGTAGGTCTTCGTACGGTATACACCCCCCCAACCCCGCCCCCCCCCCCCCCCCCCAAAAAAAAAAAAAAAAATTGGCAATGACCAAGAATTTCATCTTGCAAAAATTAATGAACTAGTGACTCCACTTTAGCTGAGAGAATAGAAGCTACAATTGACCATTGGGCTCTAATCTAACAATGGCCAACAATGTTGAATGAGAAAATGAAATGTGACGTTTGCTAGTTCTCTTGTCAAGAGAAGGACTGTAGTTTCTTGGCTTCCAGAGATATTCTAGTAGTTGCTAGGCTAATCCACCTCCTGCTTTCACTTGAGGGAAGCTAATCAAAATCCTGTTTCATCCCAAGTGGACTAGGCTAGTTGGAGGCCAAGCAAGTGTGTGTGTGAGAGAGAGAGAGAGAGTTGGCTCTCAGTGGTGAGAAGGTTGTGTTGGGCAGTTATTCTGAACAGAATGCAAAAGGCATATCTATAGGCAGCAGGGAAGTGGTCAAACACTTCCAATTGGTTGACACAGAGGACGGACTGTAATGAAGCATTCAGGCTCCTTGCAGATTGATGGGATGGCTTCTTGTGGGTCTAACACAGTCTACACAAGGTATAACTAGAGTTAAGATGGCTAATTAATGTTGTATAATGGCTTTAGTAAAGCCAGATGGTTCATTAATGAGGCTTGATGATCATTTTCTACAAGAAGACAAACCAAAAGAGAGACTTGGCTGTGTGTTACTCAAAGGGGTCATCAGTCTCTCTTTCTCTCTCCTTGAGCGAGGTCAAGGGAAAAAGGATGGTAATTCATCTTAGAGATCTCAGTAGTCCATCGTGTTGTCCAGGTAACTCGGGCAAATAATATTAATCTTTAATCCTGGAAATTGAGCGTTTGTTACCTCGTTAGTTTGTGAGAAGATCAGAATAATTGGATATCAAGTGTTACTTCCCTTCATACTTCTTTTTACCCCAACCAATCATCAAGGATGTGATGTTCACACTGTTTGCCAAATCAGCAATCCATGCCAGGTCACCAAACCACGTATGAGTGGTCTGTGCGACCGAAAATCATTCGCGTACAATATATATGTTTCCACTTCTATCCCAGGCTCTATCAGCGGACACAGCCATATGGGGCTCAACCAGATTATACGACCACTAAAAAAGGCTGCTCTATCTCAATAAACCTTCCCAACCAATAATGGAAATCTGTCATTGGATTAGATATGGAGGCCGAAGCCCTCAAAGATTGTGTCCCTTTCTTTGGTTGGTTGGACATAATTTTTGGTCCAACAGATTGAAAAGGATGACAGCTACTGTCAATAATGCCACATCAGTGCCTAATAATAGCAGACAACCCACTGCAAATGTGCTACTGTACTGTTAATCCTCTAACGTAGAGGTCTCTCTATAAGATTTTAAACCCTCCGTGCAGCCAAACAACTACATCTTGTAAGTGGATCACCTTTAACATTTTCACCCAAACAGCCAAGGTTGCCTTCAGCTTACCTTGAGAGACAATGGGAATAATTGAAACTTCACTGTCCTGGACAACAAACAACTATCTCAAGCCTTGGCTATCCCACGAATTCCACAATCCAAGCCACAAAGTAAATTTGTCAAATAAAGTTCTGTGACTGCTGGATTCTGAAAAGAAAAAATTGATGTCAACGGACAGGTAGATGACGCTGTGTCTGGGGATGATAGAGGACTTTAGGTATGGGGATATATGGAAACACTAGGCATCCAAAATTACTGCTGAATTGGGAAGTAAACAAACTGGTTCAGAATTGGCATGGGGAAGAGAACTTTAAAGTTTTATCATGGATTCCTAGATTCCATTAAACATGATCATGGAAAGAGAAAAAGTCAATGGGATTACAAAGGGCTTACTTCTCACTGCTAAAGCCTCATAAACAGAGGCTGAATTTGTTAGATGGGGTACAGTCTTACAAGAAGGAATTGTGTATGAAACTTTCTTTCCAAGGACAGAGAAACCCAAGGAAAGAGACTACTTGAGTTGAAATTTGAAACCAACCACATAGGAAATACCAGACCTTTTCCTTTGCCTATAGGGCTGCTTTTCATTTGAGGAAGACCTTTAGAAGCATTGTGGTTCTGTCCTTCTATTTCCTGAAGCACCTAAAAAAATAAAACTGATAGGAAAAAAATGTAGTAGTCCATAATTAAGATTTATCACATGAAAACTCAAGCCTAGGTCCTTTCTTGATTCTTTTAGGACTCAATAGGAAAACCTAAAGCGGAATTTAGACACCAACAACAGAAAAATAAGTACCAATATAATGAAGCAGCCACCACTGTAAGGTATCACAAACGCTTAGAACTAAGGGTTTTGCTCTTATCACAGCTCGAGCTACTGAGTATTATCTGACATAATCTCTTTGTTGGATCTCAGAAGCAATTTTTCCTTTTAAACATAGCTGTGTTACTTGGCAAGGGAAAAAAAGCCATAATCGGTCACTATATTACATTTATATTCATTCGATACATCATAACTCATTTCATTCAAAGTTGTACAGGGAAATCTTTTTGTTGGATACAAAAGCATTTTTTCTTTTCTTTTCTTTTTTTTTTTTTTTAATATAGCCGTGTTACTTGGCAAGAAAAGAAAAAAAGAAAAGGCCATAATTGGTCACTATATTACAGTTATATTCATTCGATTCATTGTCACTCATTTCATTTAAAGTTGTACAGTGTGTAAACCTGGTTTCATGCAATAACTCTACATAAAAAGTGCCATACCATCACTAGCAGAATTAAAGAGCTCCCAAAAAGAAAGATGCCATCAAATACTATAGCACTTCAAGGGAAGAATGTAGATGTACAAACCTATAGATAATCTGGGTAGCTCTAGGACAGTTATAGAGTGGGAGGGTCATCATATAAATGACAACTCAAACCTCAACGCTTACTCAGATTGAGAAGCTTAATATAGCATCCAACAGATTCTTTCTTGAACTCCCAAATGAAAACAAGCATGTATATGGATTGAAGATCGACTTCATAACAACTCCATAAACTACTCCGAAATAATAGTATCACATTAAGATTTAAAGAAGCTAATGTGATGATAATATATGTTCTTTTTCTTATATTCATTTCCAACTCCATGCAAAAATGCTTTTAGTGAAACAACTTATATTTATCTCCTTCAAATACAAATCTAAGAAATAGCGTCCATCATGCTACATTTCCACTTTCTTTACCTCGATCCTACCTTCTTGGAGTGGGATCCAACCTTTTTGCCCAATTGACATGCTCTTTTCATCTTCCTCTTGTCCTAGTAAAGCTTTTGTTTTGAATCAACCCTACTAGGTTCATCCCGTCACTGAAGTCAATTGCACATAAAAATATCATATTAAAAGAAATTGGTGTAATCCGTCGTTGATAGGTGCTAATTCCAGCTACTCTCACATAGATATGTTGTTCTCTGTATCTTCTCTTGTATTGTTGCCAATCCATTACAACATCTCCGTTGCAACTTGGAATTTATTGACAAATACATCAAATTATAATCAACCCTCCTCTTAATTCATTCAAATCATTGGTTGCTTAGAACTATATCATCTTATTATGACTTCCCCGTAAATTTGTTCTTTGAAAGTGCTAACTCTAGCTCCTCTCATCAACTTCAACCAACAATTCCTCTTGATTTGAACAAGAAAAAATATATGTTGATTGATGTACATAGAGCTTCCTTCCATATTTGCTTCAGCTACATATGCCAAGTGGTTTTGACATAACATCATTCGACTACCGAGTCAACAAATCTTCATACTATTTTTAAACAATCTTTTTATGCAACCCTTGCATTGTAGAAATGGGAGGATGTAATCATACCCATCAATCTATCAACTTAAACATTAAAAATGACCATACCGGTTCATAACCTTGCACAAAAATGTTTGTGATGGTGCCACACATTAAGAAACAACAACAACAGATCAACTCTCTTTATATCCGAATCTTATTCCTTTGTATTAAGTATCACCCAAGAGACTTCAATAAACCATGACTCAGAAAAGGTAAAACAAGTACAGTTACAAGTGTCAGGATATACTTGGTTCAGAGCTTCAACCAAGAAATCAAAAATAAAAAATTTGAACTTTTTTTTTTTTCCTTTTCCTTTGATAAGCTTACATGATGACAAACTAATGCATTTAAAGGTGATATGATGCATAGAAGATCAGTTCAATTCCATTTAACATCCCAAACAAAATTGTCAAGTTTTTCCTCGATTAAAGATTTTATCGAGATGCAATTAAAAAAAATGACAAATTAATTGTTTGGCTATTACACAAACTGTTCATGTGTGTTTAACTTGTACAACTGAACTGAATAAAATTTTATTCAAAAAAAGGTATGAAATTGAACATTTTTAAAGATTTACCTGACAAAGGTTTACATCTGAAGCCCAGGAAACCTTTTTTGATTGCGGCAATCCTCGCATATTTACAAATACAGATTCGACTATCAAAAGACACGTTATTCTAATCGATCAATCCAAATTCGATACCCTAGTTCATAGCATTACTTAAAAGATCTAATTTGGTCCAATTTTAACACGATCAGAACGGACGGAGACACAAAGGATAACCAACGACATAAATATATGTGTATATGTGTATCGATGGATATGGAGATGAGAGATCCAAGGAAACCCTAGATCCTCTGGTTTTCGCTTTCGCCGCTTTATTCCCGAAATCTTCTTCTGTTATGATTTTTTTGTGTGTTCAGTAGGACATGTACGTATAGTTGGGCTTAGCACGTGTAAGGCTCAGCTTACGTGCCACCAACACGCGTGTGGAGTGAGTTTTCAACTTTTGTCTTACGAGTTTGAGATTCGATCGCAGCCTCGCAGGTTACAAGGCTGAGGATTACGCATTTGTGTACTTTGTTGTGGGGGCTTCAAAGCCATTGGTTTGTAACAAGCCCACGGATTTGTAAGACCAAACAATCCAACTAGATCCAACTATCTGACTTTTCAGACTTCACAATTGTAGAAAGGGAGATTGTTACGACATAAGCAAGTTTGGATTTTTTTTTTTATTTTTTAAATTGAATCAGCATGTCGTATTTATATTTAACTTGTTAATTCATTTACAGCCCGTTTAATTAAAAATTAAATAAAAATAATGATAAATTGTTCAACTTTATCCGACTAATTTATGTTAATTCGTTCACAGTTTATTTAGATCCGTTTAATTAAATATTTTTATGTATTAAATTTTATTTAGATCCATTTAATTAAATATTTTTATATATTAAATAAAAATAATAATAAATAGTCTGACTTTCGAAAGTATTGACTGATTTATGTTAATTCGTTTACAGCTTATTTAGACTCGTTTAATTAAATATTTTTTATATATTAAATAAAAATAATAATAAATAGTTCAAATGTATTCGACTGATTTATGTGAGTGATGAATGAATAATGATCTCATTATAACATAATTTTCTAATAACATAAATTTAGTCAATATATCCGACTGTCGGATTCCTTATCATTACTCATTAAATAAACGACACAACTTCTTGTAATTTTTTTTTGTTCTTTCCTTTAAGCAATTTGTACAAATAAAGTAGAGTAAATTGCATTGACACTCCCTGAGATTTCAGTCAAAGTCACTCAGATGCAAGTCAACGGCATTTTCAACACTGACACCCCCTGGGATTTCAAATGTCATATTTGTTCCTAATTATTTAATTCAATTAATTTACAAAATATCAGCCTTGTTAATTGACGAAACTACTCCTATCATTAAGCCTCTGTCTCTACCCTAATCTTTAACTCACAAATTTTTTTTTTTTTGTTTTGTTCATTTTAGTATCTAGCTGCCGACACTCCCTCTCTCTCTTCCCGATCTCGGACATGACTACTTTCTTTTTTTTTTTCTTTTTTTTTTTCCCTGTTGTGGTGGATCTAGGCTAGCCATGATTGTTTTTATTTTTTTTCCTACTTTGGTGGTGGTTGTTATGGTGATTATCAGGATGTTTCAAATTTTATTTTATTTTTTATTTTTCTATTATGGTGGTGGTGGTGGTTCTGGTAGCGTATGAGTGTGTTAGTGGTGGTGTTTTGGTGTGGTGGTGGTTCTAGTGATGTTCGGGACGTATAAGTATGGGTTAGTCATGGTTGTTTTCAATTTTTTTTTCTACTGTGCTGTTTGGGTGTGGTAATAGTGGTTATGATGGTGTACAGTTATCTGGCTTTTTTCAAAAAAAATAATATTTTTATCTTTATTCATTATTTTTTATTTTTATGTTGTGGTGGTGGTTATGGTGGTATAAGTATTATTATATATAAACTATATTTATATATATAAAAGAGATGAAGAAGTTAGATTAGTCCATTAAATTTAGTTAGGAGGTTAAATTTGTAATTTTATTATGATAGCCTTGGTTTTTCAAGCTAGTGCGTCTTGTGATGAACCAAAAGTTGACCCGATAACGAATCCCAAATGCGAAAGTGAAAAAAATAGAAACCAAGTCTCTAGAGATGCAATACATCTCTAAGACGCCAAAGTGACCTTTCATAAGACTACAAAACTCAACGAGAACGAACGCGGAAGAAAAAAATCAAAAGTAGACCAAGTGTCACATCCCGAATTTTTATCTGACCTAATTGAATTCTTTATTCATTATTATGAGTTTATTAATATTTATTTCAGTTTAAATATTTATATTTAATTGAGTTGAGAAAACAAAAATAAGAAAGTTTATTGTTTATAAACAATTAATTTCAAGTATGAGAATTGTTCACACATGCACGGTACATGGTACTTGGAAGTATTTGGATATGTTTATTATCTATTCATATGTATGGTATCAATTAAAGATTATTGAGGTAGTGGCAAATAAATATATCGATATATATATATTTATAGTAAATGAAAAGGGTATATATATTGACATACATATATGATGCGTGAGTGTGATGGTGTTAACAATATATGCTGATGCCTTTTATATGTACTTAATATTTTATGTTTTCCAAGCTTTTCTTTGGAAGCATTCAAGTTGGTGAGCTAGCTTTATACATTTCAAGTTTGGTGGATAACTATTGAAACTAATAGTTGGCAGCACCATGTATATATATCATATCATGGGACTTATATAGATATGTATTTATATAGGAGCTTTCTAGTAAGCTTTGGATGAATTATTTAAGGAATAAATTAAGAAAAAGGGCATGAGTAGGCTTGGACACATGTCACACACATAATAAAAGTTCCATATATACATTATTTTACCTCTTTTGTTTTGGGATTTCTCCGGACCAGTATGTTAAAAATTAAAGGTGTGTAGAAAAAGAAAAGAAACAGCGGGCCTAGAGAAGCCGGACCAGAAAAGGAAATAAGGAAAGTGAAAGAGAGTGAGAAAAGAAGAAAGATAGAATCAGAAAGTGGGTGTTTTGTAGAAAATGAAGGAAAATTCTCTACAATCTTTGTTGGATTCAACCTAAGGTAAGGAGATTATATTTGATGTTTAATGTTTCAACTTTCCATGGATAGTCTGATTTATGAATTTTTATATAACTCATGTAGATTGCCATTTATTTAATTTGATAAATTCAAGGTCTACATTATCTGAAAGAGAAAGAATTGTTAAGTAGTTTGACTTGTTGAGGTGATATATCTATATATATATATATATAGATATAGATATGGTGAGTAATCTGAAAAAAAAAAAAAAAAAAAAAAAAAAAACATCCAATAAATGGATAGAAATAGATTATTGAAGTCAGAGAGGGGAATGAAAGAGAGAGAAATAAAGAGAAGGAAGGAAAGTAGAAATAGTGGAAGGAAGAGGAAACAAATAAGGAAAGTTAGGGAAAAATCGTGTATGCAGTCCTGAAGATAGAAAATTTTGTAGTTTAAATTTTATATTGAAAATTTATATTATTTAAATTGTCAATACTTTACTTATTAAGGTGCTTTTGAACCAAATTTCTAACATTATTTTCTTTCTTAGTTAAATGGTTAAATTATATGAAGTGATACAATTCTGACATGATTTTAATTACTGCCCTGAAATTAATCTATTTGGTTATCATTAGAATTCCAATTACAATTATATACCAAGGCTGGGATTTATATTTGAATTGAGGATTAAATTGTTTAAATTTTCTTTAGAAATATATATGACATGATTATAAGTGTTGTATAGGTAAGGAAAAGGAGTTCATAACTTCGACATTACCAAAGGATAAGTAGATAAGTCAGAAAGTAGCCAAGGTGAGTGTACTCGCTGGAAGTTTATTCTTGGATATGCTTAATTCAAGTATTGCAGTGGTTTATGTGAATTGAAGATGAATATATATATAACTTGATTATATTAAATAAGGTCCATATTCTGGTCTGGAAGGAGAGTACTACATTAAAAAGGGTCCATACTCTGACCAAGAAGGAAATTACTATATTTAAATAAGGTCCATACTCTGGCCTAGAAGAAGAGTACTATATTATATAAGGTCCATACTCTGGCCTAGAAGGAGAGTACTATATTTTAATACCTGTAATATGTTAATGAAATTTAATTGAAGTTATCAGATAATATTTGCTTATATTACTCTGATGTAGTAGTATTACATTCACTGGGCTTTAAGCTCATTCCTTCCATATTTATATTTTTCAGGTATCAGGTTGGGTTGCAACTGCCAAGTCTAGAGTCTTGTGTGTAAATGGGGAAAAGAATTTTTGTATAAAATGTAAATATTGTAGTAGAACTTAATATTATGACTTGAAGTGACTTGTTTAGTTTTTAGAACTAGAGAGGTGGATTTATAATTTATCTTTAATTGTAAACTGTTAAGCAGGTACTCTGATGTAGGATGATGTCATGTATGAATGAGACTAATACAGATGGTTAGATGCATTCTAATTTGTTCAATTTATTAAATAGTGTAAATTGGGTTGGGGTGTGTCAACTTTTGGTATCAGAGCCTAGGTTTTCTAGGTTCTAGAGGTAGTAAGAGTCTAGACTGGCAGTAGTAGTAGGAAGTGTGTAGTAGAGTCATTTATTTGACTTGATTTTATACTAACAAATAGATGTAGTGATTATGTATCATATCTATATATGTTGTTATATTTGAGATTCTTTGCAGATAAAAAGTAATGGAAGGAGGAAGTAGATATCATAAAATCGAGGAAGAAGCCTCTTATGTTCCTATTGAGGCTGAAGTAGAACAACCTATTCAGGGTGATATGGGAAGAAAACAGGAGCAGTTAACTGGTATGCAGAAAATGGAGAAAGCTATAACAGACTTGGCAGAACAAAACAAATAATTTATGGCAAGTCAAATGATGATACAAGAAATGCTAGAAAGACAACAAAAATGAAAGAAAGGCTCAGATTATAAGAGGTTTATCAAGTTAACACCTTTAGAATTTTCAGGTACTACCAAACCAGAAGAAGCAGAGGGGTGGGTAAGAAGAATGGAATCGATATTTGCAGTGATGGGTGCAGCAAAAGACCAGAAGGTAAACTTAGCTACATTTATGTTCAAAAATGAAGCTAGTTATTGGTGGGACACAATAAAACATTTGTTGCTCACTCCAGGAGAGAAAGAGGTGATATTATGGAATCCATTTGTTAAAGCTTTTTATGAGAAATATTTCCCTCCAATTTACAAAAAAGAGAAGGAACGAGAGTTTATACTCCTAAAACAAGATAGAATGTTTGTAATTGATTATGAAGTTAAGTTTACTGCTTTATCGAGGTTTGCACCCAA